ACCAAAATGCAATAAGCGATTTTCAGTACTTTTTTCGCCCTAAAAAAACAGCACAATCAATCAAGCTTCACAAAAACCGAGTCAAGAAGAAGACCAAGTTTTATTGCAGAATTACATATAAGTTGGAATACCTGAACCAGCTGCAGCACGCAGCCTGGTCCCCCTAATATGTTTTCAGTTTCTTCAGCCATGCTGCGTCCCTGCTGCAAGCCACTCGCTTCGTCTCCCTAGCTTTCACAGTTTCCAAGATAATGATTTTCCCCGCCAAAACTTTCCCAGCGTCGTACACGATACCAAGAGGAAGGGGAAGGCTAAAATTAAAACTGCGGGATTACGCGTGGGTGGGGAACATTCCCTAAACGTTCAGCTTACTAGCTTTTGTGGTTCCCAACTTAAAAGTTGCGGACACGATGCATTTAGACACGTATAGACAAAAGATACATGCAGACAGCCCCGTCAGAATATGCTTTTTGTGCAACTGCTGCATAGCACAAAACGCATAAAAATACCTGCTGCATTTTCTGTTCCACAGTTTCTCGAAACCTGTAAATTTCTTCCGTAATATATGATATCTGAACAAGCGAGCTACATTCTGCGCTCCGCATCAGTGATGTGATTAAGCGAGCAACGATGGCCAGCTGAATGACTGCTTTTACAAGTTCATCCTGTTGCTGCCTTGGTTTTTCAGTTGCATCAATGAACATCTGATTCAATTCCTTAAAAAGTAACATACACATACTCGTACATACACATACAAGGGCGTAACAATATAAGCTTTTTGTAGCTTTTACACAGCACAAAACGCATGAAAAGGGATTCATTGGCAGCCTTGCCAATGTGTGGTTGCTGTTGGCACATGCTATCGCTCGAGTTGCGTCCGCGTATCTCTGTCTCTTATAGGAAGTGAATGAGGATTTTACAGGTCTGCCACATCTATTTCTGGACCACCTGATGTTAGCCAGGGTGCACTATGTTTCAAGACAATGTTCGTCGTTCATGGGTGACTCCGGAAATTTCAGATACAACTTCCATGTATGTTCCCATTTTCCTGTCTCGACGGTTTCTGCATGTATCAAGTAGCAAAACAGTGAAAATTTTCTAAAGCAAACGTTCGCTGAACGGAACTACACAAAAGGCAAGATCGCGCATACTCTAGTGCGCGCCTTTATTTACTGAGAGTGGTACAGAGGCAAGCTGAAGACATGCACCAGAACGAATTTATCACTGAAACGAATGAACGAGTCTCATAATAACTCTGGGGAAAAGTTAACAACTGAAAAGAGTACACTGCATGAATGCATTGAGAAAAATTAATACCTTTTCCTTTGGCGAAAAATGACTGGATATTGTCCCGAAACATTCAGCTAACAATGGATATACAAGTGCTTCCTTAGACGGAACAAGACGATGTGTTGCAAAACTCAACAGCGCACAGCACGTCATTACAGACGATGATAATTCAGGGCTGAACTGAAATGAACAAATAATTGCAAATCTATAACCCATTTTTTTGCGTTTTTACGATGCAGTGTTACAGCACTGCAGCAGTCAGCAAAAACACATATTGTGTCGAGCTTATCTGGATGCCGTGTGTGTACGTCTGTCCGGGTATTTCAACTTGGCAAACAAGCAAGCTTAGTTGCTAAAACTTTGACAATGTCCTCCAGCCAATTTTGGCTGAAAAGAAGCAAAGCTGAATGCAACTCTCAAAGATGTAAGACTTCAAGCACCAAAAACGGAAAATTATGGTGTTTCAAGAGGCGTTTAACAACAAACCCAGCAGAACTGAAAATTCAAAAAACATCAATACCTCAAAAGAATGCAAATCCAAACCACCGGTGTTCACAGCGGCATTTACAGCTTCTTCAAACCAACCACGATAGATAGCATCATCAAGTTTTGTTAAACAAGTGAGGCTACTAATTGGTGTAGTTTTCTTCAGACGTGACATGATGACTTTGTTAAAAATAGCGCACAACTCATCCTAAAATTCAAGCAACTTTGAGACAACTTTTCAAAAATCAGTTTAACAGCATTTCCAGTTAGCAAAGCCATAACTTATTCACCCTAGAATTACGCAAAAGAAAATCAACAGCGAATCAAAACCATCATAATCTGGTTCAAAAATTTCAGAGATATTCAGCTGTTCGACAAATGCAATAGAGCAAACAAAATAGAAATAAAAAACATTACATTTGCAACTATTGGTTCGTTAATCCTATTTTTTTCCCCTATTGGTATTTATACAAAATTGCTTGGGGTGTCTCCAGACTGCTGATGCATATATGCTCAACAACTAATAGGTATTTACTGAAGGTTTGTATATTTGAATGAGAGAGCTTAGTAGAGTTTCGTTCGGCACCTGGAAACATCTGCCTAATCAAAATGGAATTCTCACGCTGATTGTCCCAGCGATCTTGTTGTGTCCAGTGTTTACAACAAAAAACTTTAACAAAAATCTGTCTCTCAAAAAAAAAAAAGAAAAAATACCCTTGACGCCAAATGTACAGCTACGATGCGGCGCAGTACTTCATAT